TTGGGTGGGTAGCCATGTTGGTCCCAAGCAGTAGAACAAAGTCTGAGTCCAGTGTGCATGTGATGAAGTGTGCATGCACACGAAAGCTTATACCCAGAATTAAACTTTGTTGGTCTTAAAGGTGCTTTAAGTTTGTTCAACTGTTTATTAAATTATTGGAGTCACACTAATGTATCAATCATTGCTCAACAAGCGGTTTTAGTAGAGGTGGTTAGTAGATTATGAGGACATAAAAAAAAATGGCAGAGGAATTTCCAACACTTTGGGGAGTCCTGGTCTTGACAAGTAATTTAAACTCTATGAAAGAACCAAAAAAAGGGACTAGGAATCGGGAGTGGAGTTCAAGAGTGAGGGTGTGGCAGCATTTAGTAAGCATGTTTTGTAGTCAATGGTGTAGTGAGTGAAATTCAAATGTTTTTATGTGCATCACCTTGAGGGCCCTGATCAGATGGAAAGGCGGCGTACAAACATTTTAAATAAAACCTGAGTATGAGATTGCTGGGAAACATATCCATGATGAGTTTTGAATTGTGGCTATTTTCTTAAAAGTCAACATGGCTATTAAATACCAAGGAATCAAATGATCTGCTTGTTTCATTGTTTTGATTTTTACTCACTACCACACCACTGCCTATAAAATACACTTTCCAGTATTGTCATGCAATATCACTATGCTTGGGGCTGTTTGATACAGCTCGTCTGCGTTTGTCTCCTTTAAATTGCAGCATGCATGATTACTTTCGATTAAAAGATTGTTGGGGCAAATAATCACAGAATTACACGCCGTGTAGTTCCATGTAGACTGAGGTCTAGGAATCCTGTGTTTGTTACTCAGCCATCAACTTGATCTTAGGAGCATCTCTCAGCTTCTCTATTCTACCTGTAAAATCAGAATAGCATAAACAAGGAAAGAAGAGATGAAGAAACTTGGTTTATTTAAAGTGCTATGTGTTGACTGTACACAGTAACAGAAGAAACGTAATTTCTAAACCTTGGAGTGAAGTAGCCTTCCTTGGTAGTTGTCTTTCCTGCTACTGTTATATAACATTCATTTTGCATGCTTGTGACATACAAAATTAGTTCATTTTAGTCTGATTTTCCCTGCCTCCTTCTGTCCTGCCATTAAGTCATACCACTAAGCAAAACACTACCCACTTTGGGGAGACTAAGCAGTCCTAAGCAGAGTTACCAATTCTCAACATAGCCCCATCTGTGGATACTTTAACCCAGAGAGTGGGGGAATGGGCAGACCAGACGGCTGTTTCTATAAACCTAGGGTAAAAAACGGGGGGGGGGGAACTGAAATATAAAAAAAAAACATTTGGTGATAAAAACCCTACAAAATGATAGGCGCAGCACTGGTATCTTTAAGAAATGAATGGCCCCCTGCTTAGGATGGCACTATCAGAAATGTATTTAGTCTTTAATATATTAGTGTTCTCATGCATATCATATTCCCACTCCCCCATTTGTATCTTAGCACTTGCTTACCACGTTATCTTCAGGACTTACTTATGAATCATTTAGCAGAAGATGTTCTCTGGTTAAATGCCATCCGTTTTCTCAGATACTTGAGAGCATCCTCTCAGCAGCTACTCATTTTTCAGTAATATTGGCCTGGAAACCAAAATGTGCTCTTTGCTTTAGGAATCTTGACTTCATTCAGAACATTCTCACTGTGTTATTCACTGGAAAACAATCCTGCTTTGATTTGCATATATAAAGCTGGAAGAATATCAAGTACTTACACACAATGTGCTGGTTCCTGACAGATAAGTTCTAGTTCCCAGGAATCTTTTATATATATTTCAATCCAAGATATCTCCCTTCATCCATCCCAAATGTGGGCTCAGACCTCATGCTATTTTAGCTTGGCACTAGACTGTGGTTTAGGGGTTGGGAGCAAACCACAAGATTGTTGGGGAGGGGGAATGTCCCAGTTCACACCAATGCCAGGGTAAAAACACCCACAAACAGACTTTGGGAGATCAGGTCCTAGTAGGGGAGGGCCTGTGGCTCAGTGGTACTGCATCTGCTTGGCATGCAGAAGGTCCCAGGCTCAATCCTTGGTATTTCCAGTGCAAGAGATTAGGTAGTAAGTGATATGAAAGGCCTCTGCCTGAGACCCTGGAGAGCTCCTGCTAGTCTAGGTAGACAACACTGACTTTGATAGACTGATGGTATGATTCAGTATAAGGCAGCTTAATGTGTTTGTGTGTGTGGTGATGAGTGTGTGTGATTACAGAGACACAAGGGTCCCATGAATACACATGAAGCTTTCTTATACTGAATCAGACCATGGGTCCATTAAGGTCAGTGTTGTCAGCAGCTCTCCAAGGTTTCAGGTTGAGGTGTTTTAGGGTTGCCAAATGTTACCTACCTTGCCGGCGGGGGACTCCTGCGTGGCTCCTGGCGTGCACGCGTGCCACATGCACATCACAGGAAAGTGATGTCATGACGCTGGGCACACTGGGGGCGGGGCCATGACCATACAAGGGAAAACCATAGAGTTTTCTCTTTTATGGCCGTGGCCCCACCCCCAGCACGCCCGGCGTCATAACGTCACTTCCCTGTGACGTGCACGCTGGGGCGGGGTTCCCCCCGGGGCCCGATTCCCCGGCGTCGGGGAACGGGCCTCTGGGGCGGGGGGATTTCCGCCCCCCCCGGGGGGATTTGGCAGCCCTAAGGTGTTTTCACATCAGCTACTCCCTGATGCCTTTAACTACAGATGCCGGAGATTGAACCTTGGGACCTTCAGCATGCCAGGCAGATTATTTTATTTGCTGGCACAGAAGGGTAGATGGTATTTTCTTCATAATTGCACAACTGCCCTCAAAGGATGAAGAAGCAGAGATTTTGGACAAGTGAGAAGTATAGAGATTGCTTTGTAACATTGTCTGGCTTCTCATTTTCCATTTGAGCCAGCAGCACACAGGAAGCCGTGTGGTTTTTGTGAGGACTTTGATACCGTTCACAAGTTTCTGCAACAGCAGCAGCACCCTGGAGGCAAATCAGTAATGGAAAGGGGGAAATGCCCCTGCTATAGAAACAACATAACTAAACGGCATTGTTTCCTTTCTGAAAAGAATCAGCTCCGAGTTTTGCAGATCATAGAAACAGGGAGCAGTGGTACCAAATATACTTTCGGTTTTAATTAACTGAATGGGTTGGGGGGAGGGGGACCAAATGCAGACTGTGCCTCCAAATCCAGGCAGTGCATGAAACATACAAATGTACAAGCCACATGTGGGTCTGAACAAGCATCCCAGAAAGGAAACTCTGGTCTTGTGTTTGTGCCTTATGGAATTGGTGCAGCTACTCCTGGGAAAGAAAATGCCTTACACTGGGGAACAGCTCCTTGCAGAAACATTTCAAATTCTAGTATGATGAGATCTGGTAGAGTCACTGCTCTGTGGGAAAGCTGGGCTGTGGGAAGGCTATGGGAAAGCTGTTGGATGTTGATATCTTCCTGACCCATAGTTGCTTTTAATCCCCCCTTTGCAGTTTACACAAAGGTTATGCCATGTATTTTGCCCTTCAGAACACAGCATGACAGCAAAAGGTGTGGGGTAAACAGGATACAGAAACTGTTTTAGAGCTTTCGGCTGTGTGCAAATGTGACATTTTTGGTGTGGTTTTCTAAAGAGCTGGTGTCCCCACAATAAACACATAATATTCTTTCCCCCTCCCCCATCCTGCTGCAATCTTTGTACAAACTGACTCTTGCAGAAAGAGAATTCTTCTTCTCAGGAAGTTGTTGGAGACTGAGTTTGCTGTTGTGTTGTTTAGGTGTTGTGGGTGCCAACTGGGGTCAAGTATTCCAGCTGCCCGAAGTAATCAGTGGAGTTGAATAATAGGCTTCTCTCACCCCCTTCAGCCGTTCTGCAAATGATTTTGAAGCACAGTACCCACTTTTCCACTCTAACACTCTAGATAGTTATTGTATGTATTATTAAAATATTAATATTCCACCATTCCTTGGGTAATATCCATTATTCACTTTTTCCATATCCAGAGCTGGAGGCAGTGTCTCCTGGTTTTTAAACTGTTTTTGAAAAAGGACCAAACAGGCTTTCCCTGGCCCTGCATCAAGGTTATTCCCGTCATGCCTTCCGATCTAAGACGCCTTTTGTCCTAACTGGGATTGGGGATTTATTTATCTATCTATTTATTTATTTATCCTTAGATTTGTATCCCGCCCTACCCCTGAGGCTCAGGGCGGCTAACAAGGACACAATGTGCCAAAATTAAAACAATAAAAACACATAATAGGGGGGAGATTAGGGGATAGAGCCACTCTAAAATTAAGGGACTAATGGCTTCTGCCACTCTGTGCTCTGTACCCAGACCAAACAGGTATTTCCATTTAGTAGTGAGATGTCATTCTTTCACATTTATTAAATCATAATTTGAACACTGATAGTCTGAAGTAATGTCTTAGCTGGACAACTTGTGCTGGGTGGCAAGTTATTGCATACAAGGAGAAGGATCCAGCTATCCTGACAGAGCCTTTTCCTGTGACCTGAAACAAAAAGGGAGACTTCTCTGAGCACCCAGCAGGTCTTAATTCACACTGTGCTTCTTTGGACTGAAATCAAATCTGTGCTGTAAGCACTTAAGGCATGATTCTTTGTAGAATGTTTGCTCTAAGTGCAGCAAGGCTGTGCATGCATTATGTAGCTGAGCACTGTGTGCATGCTTGTGTGTGTGTGTTTCCTTCTCTGCAACTTCCTCCCTAAGGGTACCCCATGATGTCACTGAAGGCACTAAACTCACAGCTTCACTGATCCGGCGAGTGAGCTGTCAGTTTCGAAGTAGACTCTGGCCTGAAATGCACAAACCAGACGCTCAAAGCGATGAATAAGCTGTTTTCTGCATTGCCGGTAGCTTGCAGCATCTCTGGGTCTCGATATTTTCTCTTTTCCTGAAGGACTCAGCCTTACCTGTAAACCCCCCCCCCCCAAGCTCTGCTGTTTGTATGAGCCTTTTTGGATGGCAGGATGGTAGCCAGAAGGGAAATGGCCCGGTTTTGGAGCCTGGAGAGCCTTCAGATAGGTATGTGAGTAGGAGATAAGCTCCATTTATTCTGTGTGGCATTTATGTTTTAAGCTCTGTTACAATCTCAGGGATTGACTCAGGTATAAAATAATATTTGTGCTAGTAAGGTGAGCAGTTAGACCAGTCCATGAAACAAGCTCAAATGCCGTTGTCCCTTCTAGTTTTAACATTCCGTTAGAGAGATAAGAATTGCCCATTCATGCCTGCCTATTTTCTCTAGGCGGTAAACAATAGAGAAATGGCTACAGACAGCAAAAGACAGCAAACTGGCAATGCAGAATCGAAGCTGATGTTCTGCAAAACAGGACTGAACCCCAAATTTGTTATTGCAGATAGGTACTTGTTTTAGTATATTTGTGTATCAGAAAATCATGATTTAACAGTGCTGTAAAAATGAGCCACAACATGCAAATATTCCCAAAGTACTTTTAGGCTGGGAGCTATTTACAGATCTTCATGAAATTGGTTTTCCAGTATGAATGCTGTGTATAAAAGCATGATTTTTTATCGGTTTGTCAGATTAAAATTGTGTTTATGATTGCTGCACTTTTGGGGAATATTTCAGCTTTTGTAAGGCTATGACTAGAAACAGGATCATACCATTTTGAACAAAACTTGAAATTAAAGATTGTTAGCCATAAGTGATTGCAAATAAAGAGAGATTTACACTTTTAAAGAGCAAATCCACAAGGTATCTAATCAACTTTTATTTTAAAAAATAGGATTGGTTTTAGAAGGAAAGGCTTGGAAAAGTTAGGTCTCCTACATCAGCCTTTATATAATTTAGGTGTTTGGTATCATGTATCATGTTATATTATCAAAAGAAGCAAGCACTCAGTCCTTTAGCAAGTCCAAAGGATGAGATGGTGCCACTCTGATCTGTACAACAGGTTTATACTAAGCCCTCCCCACTCCCCGCTCCCTCCCCATGCTTTGATATGGCCTTGCCTCTAATCTACTGAGTTGAGGAACTCAGTCAGTCACTGTGCAGTCGTGGAGAAGCAGCCGTGCAGCCCAAGCATAGAGCAACTATGATTGCTATTAACTGTGATCCAAAAAAGCACAAGGTTTGCATTCTCCGTGTTCCTGGTGAACAATCAGAGCACACAGTTTTGAAGCGGCTGAAACTCTTGTCTTCATATGAAGTATATAATCTGTTTCTATTAGTGGCAGCAAAATAGTTTACTGAATGGAATTTAACAGCAGAATTTTGAGTTTATCTGGACCAATGAGGTAGTGACTTCTCCTTTCTGCCCCAGAGTTGGTTGTGAAAGTTCTCATTTCAGTAAGGGCCGCCGCTGCTAGAGGCCTATTGTTACAACCACATACGGCTGGTAGAGTTAACAACTATATGGACTAATGGCAGAAATCATCTGTGTACACCAGCGCAACGGCAATCGTCTCCTGCAACCTACCATCATGAAGAATCATAACTTGCCGCCGCACCTTGCACTTTGTATTTATGTATTAAGGTTTTATGGTATGATGCATTATCTTGTATTTTAATGTAATTTATGTTTTAATGGAAGCCGCCCTGAGCCCGCTTGCGGGGAGGGCGGGGTATAAATTTAAGTAAGTAAATAAATAAATAAATAAAATCATCTTTTTGATGCATGTACCCAACACTCAAAAAGGTCTTACAACCTGTTATTGGGACTAACCCATCTTATTTGGGGGAATAATTTTACAAGGGTTAGTTTGCTTGGCTTATTAGAAGATGTCCATCTTTTTCTTTCTGTTCACCGTTAACTATGAATATTATTTAATCTACTTTTCTGAGTATGGTTTTATGATATTTAAATTCTTTCGGTTTATCTCCCTCTCTTGCATTTGGTATGCCCATGAGTTTATATCCTTTCTATTAGGAATGTTGCTCCAGGACTTTCAACACTGCTTGTCCTACAAAGGCAAGTTTTCACACATCTCTGTGGCAGCTGCCTGTTTGGAAGTGTGCTACCTTCTCTGCCCCCCAAATAACTCAGTTCCTCTTCTAGATTTGTTCTCTAAAATAACAAACTTACCTAGTTGCCTATTTTGTATCAATCATTCTTCCTGGTCTATTTTCTTCCTCAGCTTCTAGACTGTTCACCCTAAAATCTATAATTTGGATTACAGGTAAAGTTGCCAGGTCTGTCACACCAGCCAGCGGGGGATGGGGGTGAATTTACCGGGAGCGGGGAGGGAAGAAGCCGGAAATAAAAGTGATGTGCTGATGTCACTTGGAAGTTACGTAAGCACATCAGGGGTGACACTCTGGTTTTGCCCCCAAACCAGAGTGTCCGTCCCCCCAGGTCACCAGGTGATGTAGGCACGTTGCACTTATTTCTGGCTTCTTGCCTGTTTGGGGGGTATTTGGAGGGGGATGGAGAGGAGCACCCAAAACTGGGGGACCCCCGCCCCTGCTGGGGGTGGTGGTCTGGCATCCTTAAGTACAAGTAGAGTTGTGTTCAATATTTAAGTGATTGGCTACATGCAGATGATTGGCGTCCTACAGTGAAATGCTAAATGGAGTTGCAGCCTTCTAAGCCCATTGACTTCAGTGGATTTAGAAGGGTGTAACTATTTAGTATTTAGAAGCATAATGAGGGAGTGCCTTTGCCTTTTCATTCCTCCTCAACTCAGGGCCCTACTTTTCTGTTTTGGTTCTGTCCTTTACCCAGATGATATTGATGAGGGTGAAGAGCTGGGCTCTTGGCAAAAGGGAGATAGTTTAGCCCTCCTCTCCAGATTAATTTCTGCTGGAAATTATTATGTTCTCGTATTGGAAGGTATTCTTTACTCATTGAGTTCTGCAGAGTCAAAGTGAAGGCTTTTAACTAATTGAGGAATAGCACATTTGAGGTTTCACTGCAGCTATCTGTGCATATAACAATTTGGGTAATTTTACTTGTAAATCATATTTCAGGTTTATTTTTATTTTTTCCTGTTTTGAACATTTTGTGATATTTAAATTGCAGTCATTTTATACACATGCTCATCACTTTTGTATATTGTAAACTTTGTATTTGTGGGATAGAAAAGAAGCTCACAAAAGCTTACAATAAAAAGGCTAAGAGTTTGAACTGTAGACGATTGTGTAAGATGGTGCAGAGGCTCAGTTCTGTGCCGCAAAAAGCAGAGAGTTTCCTTTTACGGGTCAGTGTGCCTGATGGAAAGAGGGTGGACCTGCCAGCATTCTGAAGAGTAAAATAATTCTCAGTCTAATCAGAGAGCGGATCTATTCATATTATACTGTTATACAATATCCAGCTAAATGTATATACATTTGTTGTATTTTTAATGAATTTTTAAGCTGCTTTGAGAGCCACTTATCGAGCAAAGGCATTCTAAACAAAAATAAATGAATAAATTATACAAACTGAGGTTGTAGACAAAAGAGGTAGAATTCTGGACTCCGCCAAATCAAAGATTGCCGGGGGGGTATATTTTAATGTCCCCATGTAAGGCAGTTTTGTTTATTTGTTCAAACTATGTACATCTTGCCTTTTTTATGATAAGACCCCAGCTAATACCTGTGTGGGAAAGGACTCAAAATATTGCAGATAATCAACAAAACAAAACTAGAAGCAAATGATGAAAGGAAATCAGTGCTGAAGAAAAATCACGGTAGCTGAGTCTTTAATCAACAGTATATCTGGTCATTATTCATTTTCCATTTCTTCTCTTAAACAGTCGTGTTTGCACTTTATGAGAAGAAGAAGCAGTGATTGAGTCAAGCGGGTATCCCTTGGGAAGTCATTCCAAGGCGTTGGTGCCACTGTTGAAAAGCCCTAATAACTGCACATAGAAAACTAGTGTGTGAGAAAGAGAATTGCACTCCGTTGACTCTGCTAGGATTGTGCTGTCCTTTTTTACTACATGCAAGGAACTTTTATGTGTGGAGGAGTGTTCAAAAATATTGTGTCCCCCTCCAATCAGTGTGAAGTAGTACAGTCCAGAATCCTCCCAGCTCATTCTGCATAAAGCATACATCACCTTTTATTCAGGACTCCGTGCATTTTGTGTGTATGTGTGTGTTTAAGTATGTAATTCTTGTTGTTTTTCAGTTAACAAGTATTATGACTAAATGTTTGTTACTGATAAGCAGACAGGCTTTTATATCCAATCCAATTCCTCCATATTTCACTTTTGTGCTAGGCACTGCAGATGGTGGTACTGAATCTTGTGCCTTAGCGGATGACAATGGTAGCGAGGAAGATTACAGCTATGAGGAGCTCTGCCGAGCCAGTCCCAGATACTTGCAGCCTGGAGGGGAACAGCTAGCCATTAATGAGGTAACACGAAGATAGCTTTTACATGAACCTTTCCAGCTAACGGGGCAATCCTCTATTTCAGTTTTATGGAAGATGGATGAGAGCCATGGGTCCGCCGTCCGCCCTTTCGTCATTGTTGAGAATGTAAAATTATTTAATTTATTTACTATCGTGCACAAGCAGAATATTTCCTTGAGCGGCATCGAGAAGCAAGGAAAGTGGCTCTGTATTTCTGTTGCTGCACCTGCATTACCTCTGCACATGAGCCGCTTCGCACGTCAGTGTCTGGCAGTCCCTGCAGAGCCTTTGCCCTTCACCAAATGTTTCCATTTCAGCTGATCAGTGATGGGAGCATGGTCTATGCGGAGGCACTCTGGGATCATGTGACCATGGACGATCAGGAGCTAGCCTTCAAAGCTGGGGATGTCATCCAAGTCCTTGAGGCTTCCAACAAGGATTGGTGGTGGGGAAGAAGTGAAGACAAGGAAGCCTGGTTTCCAGCAAGCTTTGTCAGGGTGAGTCAGGGCAGATCTCTGTGCCTTTTACGCAATAATGTGGCCTTGGGTGGCTGGTACGTTGCTCAAAGCTGAGCAGTACTTTATTTCACTTCCACTGGGATATCAGGGTTGCAGTGATACATTTATAACTCCTCGAGTTTCCATTTTTAACTAAAACAGATTAAGCCTGTTGGAATTATCACTGTCCTGAATGTCCTGCTTCTCCGTTCCTTGCTCAATGGTAGCTCTCTCTCTGTGCAAAGTGCATAGATGTAGGTAGCCTCAAAAGGATCTAAGCTTCTATTATAGCTAGCCCTTTTTCCTCCTCCTTCTTTATGATTTCCAGTACAACCAAGGAATTTTGATGGTGGGCAACAAACCCACTAAAAGGTTGGATAGGAAATCCACACAGAGCATACAGAAACTCTCAGCATTACCTGCTTGTGTCTTCAAGCTTCCCTGCTTCTCAGGAGTGGTTCCCACATTGGTTAGATATTAATCTCTGAGGGAAACGTGTGTGAAGTTGAAATGAAAATACTACCCTTTTATTGATATTTTTGTTTGTGTTATTTTAAAAACTGCTTGTTATGTGTTCTTGCACTATAACATTGAAAACATAACAGCTGATAGGAGAGAACTAGTAAGGAAACCCTAAAGGAGAGGTGTCAAACTCATTTGTTATGAGGGCCAGAGCTGACGTAAATGTCACTTTGTCGGGCTGCGTGTGCCGTAAAATGTAATGCCAGGTACCAGAGATATAAACTTTATAAAGGTCATAGACAAACCCAATTAACGATATTATTTTTTACTCAAAATGCAAAACATGCTTTAAAAATTAACACTCTTACAGTATTTCCTTAAAGTATCTCCATGATGCCCACCCTCCCACTTCCACCGCTCCTTACTCATTAGTACTGGGACAGTATACAGGGACATAATGCACAGCCTCTGTCATTTGGCAATAATGTTAATTACCAGTTGCTCTTGGCAAGATAAGAGGCCTAGATGGGCTGGTTCCAGCCCGCGGGCTATATGTTTGACAGCCCTGCTCTAAAGGATGGTATGTGTTTATTGATTATATTTTCATCCCACTCTTCCTCCAAGGACCTTGCTCCAACTTTTTCCTTAAGCCAAGGCTTGACACCCCTTCCACTAAACCCGTGTCTCACTCCTACTCCAAGCAATAGTGTTTGCTCTGTTGCAAGTAGCAGATCAGGGGTCAGAACCTGATGCCTTTTTGGAGCAAAGCCAAAAGTTTCCGTTTTTAGATTTTTAAATATTTATGCATACAGATTTGTACGTGCTGTTCTGAATCCTGACTTTTTAAAAAGCACTGACCAAGTACCAAATAAGAACAAGGCCCTCCTCTAAATTAGGGATGCCCACAGCCTGGAGGGGGGAGGGAAATGTCCTTTCCCTTTAACAGAGGTTTAATGGGATGGTATCTACCAGGTGATGTTCTTTACTTCAGTGCCATGCAAGGCTTCTTCAGCTGCCCATTTCCACAGGTGACACCTCTATTAAAGGGAAAAGACATTTTTCTCCAGGCCTGTTGGCAACCCTACTCTGAATTCTTTTTGAAAAATGTGTGTATTGATGTTTTACACTTGATTAACTCATGAAAAATCAACTTGCCCAGTATCATAGCAAAATTCAATTTTAGCTAGTCACAGCTAGTCAGTTAAAACGTTGTGAGCCCTTTGCTACCCTTTCCTCCTCCTAAATGTTGTCATTCCTGTGATCCTGCGGAATGCTGTGCTGAGTAGCACATTCCATGAAGATAACAAAGCTGCAATCCTGTGCGTACTGATTTAAGGCTAAGAGCAGTTGAATTTAGCAGGGGTTGCTTCCGAATGAACAGGCACAGGATCAGGCTTTGTCTGGCTTTGTGGGTGTTGAGGATGTATCATGCTTCTCTTTCTGTGAGAAAAAGGGGAATAGATGGGTAAGGCACAAAAAAAGAGTAATGAGTCAGTGGTTTCAGAGTGGTATCGCCCTTCCTGAACAAAGACTGTAAAATATACATTGCCCAATTTTTGCCAATGACAGCTGTTCATTAGCACCTCTCAATTCTCATTAGCAAGTCTATGGTAATTTCCAAGAAACCACATGGTAGCAGACACTGGTCTACCACTTTGTATGCTGTATTCCACTTGCAGTGACCACAGCTGTCTGGATGGTGCAGAAGGCAAAGTCTTTCCCCAAGTCCCTTAATTTTTCAAAATGGGCCACACTGTTTTCTGTGCGCCAGCTGAACTTCGAGGCTACTTGACCATCCAAACTGCTGCTCCTTGAGGCTATTTTTTTTTACTTAATGCATAAATAATTAACTGCCCTAAAAGCTTACCATAAGGCTAGATGATCAGTATAAAGGTTAAAAGGTTTTCCCATAGAAGCTGATATTAATTGGAGAGTGCTCTTTTAGATCATTTATTTCATCTGGTCCATTTTAAAGTTGTCTTCTAATGCTCACTTTTTTAAAGAAAGCAGCAGTGATTTAAAGCCACATCAGCTTTTACATTGGACAAAATAAATCTAAGCCAATCTGCTCTCAGATGATTCTGTGCTGCATGAAAGGGACTTTGAGAACAGCTTAAAAAGGTATCTCAGAATGGTTAATTACATGAGAAGTTTTCCATCTAGGATTTACATAGCAATGTGGTTTTAGGGAGCCCTGTTAAGAACCATTTACTGGGAAACGGCACAAAGCTGAACTCTGCAGGTTTGTAAGTAGCCACTCCGCTTGTTGCCTACAATGTCTACCCCTCAAGGTACACAAGGAGGGAGTTCTACAATAGTTGATTCTTGCTTTCATTTAGGACATGCCTATGGACAGCACAAAGCTAGCACGTGTTTGGGGTTTTGTTTAGACAGCTAGTAATTTTTGTAGATTGTTTTCAAGGTTGAACACAGCTTGACATTTTTTCTCTGTGATGAATCCAGCTGCGAGTCAATCAGGAAGAACTTGCCGAAAACTTTGGTAGCCTTCAGGATGAGGAGCCAAATGCAGATCCTGGGAAGCAGCGCCAAAAAATGTCTGAAAACATGGATCAGATGAGAACAAATGTTATTCAGGAAATAATGAATACAGAGCGGATCTACATCAAACACCTCAAAGACATCTGTGAGGTAAGCTGCAAGGCACTATAGAACTCTGAAGGCAAGGAGAAGATTATTTGTATCATGAAGGGAAACCTCAAGCTTTGTCTTAAAAGCAAGTGGGGAGGACAGGCGAAGCTGCTTATGGCACAGCTGCAGTGCCTCAGGTAGAAAATGAGATGGCAAGAAGGCTTGCTTGCTGACCTGGACAGCTCAGGCTAGCCTGACCTTGTCAGATCTTGTCAGATTCGGATGGGAGACCACCAAGCAATACCAGGGTCGCCACGCAGAGGCATGCAATGGCAAACTGCCTCTGAACATCTCTTCTCTTGAAAACCCTATGGGGTCGCCATAAGTCAGAGTGGCAAAACCCTATGGGGTCGCCATAAGTCAGGGTGGCACGTTCCAGTTTGGTGTAGTGGTTAAGAGCGGCATGCTCTAATCTGGAGAACCGGGTTGGGTCCCCCACTCCTCCACATGCAGCCAAATGGGGTTACTTTGGGTCAGTCACAGTTCCCTCAGAACTCTCTCGGCCCCACCTACCTCACAGGGTGTCTGTTGTGGGGAGAGGAAGGGAGGGGAGATTGTAAGCCAAATGAAGGACGGGGTATAAATCCAACTCTTCTTCCTCTTCCTCCTTCTCTACCACCACCACCACCATAACTGAGAAGGCTTGAATAGTGAATAGTGCTGGTTCACTATAGTGCTAGGTTTCTTCCAACATGGGAGATGTAGTGCAGCTCAACAGCAGTCAACAGGGCTGCCTCAAAATGTGTGTATAAGGGGTGGGATTAGGGCTTCAAAATCCACGGGGGCCAGGGACACCCCAGGGGTGAGGGAGCTGGCCAAGGTCCTACTGGGGGATAATGATTGCATGAGCGTTCTTCTGAATGCAAGGAGGGCTCCTGAGAGAATCTTTGTCAGGGGGCCTGTGCTGGCTATTGGCAGCCCTGGCGGTTGCAGCATGCCATTTTGTTGCTCTCCTTGGGCAGTTGCTACGTGCTCAAGGTGTGATGGCTTCTATTTAGAGCTTCTGCCTGAGTTGTCATCAGGCCACACAACTTAATTTTTTGACAACATGTACGTTTATTGGTGGTGGAGATTGCTGTCAAGTCGCAGCCATAATAAGTAGGGTTTTCAAGGCAAAAAAACCATTCAGAGGTTGATTGCCATTGCCTGCCTCTGCGAAGCAACCCTCGGCTTTCTTGGTGGTCTCCCATCCAAGTACTTACCAGGGCTGACCCTAATTAGCTTCCAAGATCTGATGAGATTGGGCTAGCCTGGGCCATCCAGGTCAAGGCATAAGTTTATTACATTTCATGAATATGGGTTGCAAAGGAAGTGAGAAATTTTTAAGCAGTGATGGAGTATCCATAGGACAATATTGACTCAGAACTTGGGCTTCCTGAGGGTCCATCTTACTGGGGCAGCTGTCACAGATTTTTGATATCCACTGCTGTTATACTGATGTAACCCATTCACTGAAAGCCCTGCCCAGATGTTAACTGACTGCAGAGGAAAAAAAGTGGTCACAACAAGCATTCTGGCCCCACCTCTGTGCAATTGCTGAGTTATCTGCTCAGTGCAAATGCATGGAGAAAGGGTCTGCACATACGATTCCTTCTCATGGCAGCAGTGCTGTGCTTTCCCTGTATTGAGGATCACGGGGAAGGAACATATGCACAGACACTTTCTCCATATGTTCACACTATGCAGACAACTCAGCAATTGCATGGAGGTGGGGGCAAGGCCCATTCTCCCTGTCCAGGCAAGTTAGTCAGTGTGCAAACGTGTTGTTTGTTCAGGGCTTGACTTCCTCAGCCTGGGTAGCAGGTTTGCAACTCTGCCCTGCAGTGACTCTTCCTACCACTGGGGGTGCTGTGGATCCAGCTGTGGCAGAGGTTAAGGGAATATGTACAAGAGAAGTAGATTTTGTTAGGAAAATAGATGCAGTTATTGACAAGAAGGTATGAAGGAAAGATGTGTAATTTTGAACATCGGGTAAGTCAGAAGAACAAGAAGCAGTCTGCTCAGTATTTATTTATTTATTGAACTTTTATGTTGCCCTCCCCTGCATTGCAGGAGATTGACTTTATGTCAATAAAGTTAACTATGGACACAATTTTTAAATGTATTTTAATTGGAATTTCTTGAGAGCAGGATTGGGGCAGGAGGGAGGATAGGATTAGATACGCAATTAGATGCAGACAATTTTGAAATAATGTATTTTATTTGTACCCATGCAAAGGGAGTGGCATTATACTTAACACTGGACTTTGATATATTGTATAGCAGAACAGTGACGTTATTGAAAACAGAATGTATTTTGTGCTCTAACAAATGTTAAGAGTCCTGCTGTATCATTTCTTAGGGATACATTCGACAGTGTCGCAAACATACAGGAATGTTCACTGCAGCCCAACTGGTCACCATTTTTGGAAACATTGAAGATATTTACAAATTCCAAAGGAAGTTCTTGAAAGATCTAGAGAAGCAGTACAACAAAGAAGAACCCCACCTGAGTGAAATAGGATCCTGCTTTCTTCAGCATGTAAGCCAGTTAATTCCATTTTGTTTGCATGAACTGTGCTCTTCTGAGTAAGGACAGCTACAGGGCAATAATGCTACAGAATGAACTGTCAGTATAATCTTTTAAGGTCTCCCTAACCATAACCATCATATCAACAGGTTTTGATCCATTCACACGTATAATGGAGCATCAAACATGATAGCTCGAAAGCTAGAGCCAGTCTACAGTCTGAAACTTTGTTGCAAGCATTTAGGCTGATAATCTTATGCCTATATAAGAGCTTTCCAGAGCTTGAGGACATGATTAATGGGAGGAAACACTACTAATGATTTTTCTGCCACTACTTCTAGTTTCATAAGCACTTTCAATAAACAATGTTTAATTCAGTTAAACTTTCAGCTTTTTGAGGTCCATTGTCATGGCTGCTTTCCCCACCCCCACCCCCCATACAAACCATCCCAAAGTTCAGGAGGATTGCATGGGGGAAATTGTTGTGTGAGGTGGTGGTACATGGATGCTTTCAGCAGCACTTTTTGGAATGGTCATGGTTGCAGGCATTAGCACTGATTGCTGTCTGTGAATATCATAACCCATTTCCCCATATGACTTCAGTCCCCATGAATCTCCAAGGAAGAGAAAAAGCTGACCAGTCTGTGTTCAGTATCCACAGGGGAACTTTTATGAGTGCTTCGTTTTGAGCCTCACAGGAGGGCTGCCACTCCCCATGTGGTTCACGTTTCTGTTCTGTCTCTGGGGGCCTGGGCAGGATGGAGATTCCCCTGATCACTCACACACGTTATTATTTATTTGCTTACTTCATCAACCTTTCTTTCTGAGGTTCAAGGTAGAATGCAGCTAAAAAACAATGCAGTAGGAACAGTGTAATACATATACTGGGCAAAATGAGAGACAATTGCACAAAAACCACAGAAAAACACAGGCAGTGAAGCAGGGATTACAAGATTGGAGAACATCACATTACATACAATCAGCATAGTATTAAAACAGGATTACAAAATTGCAGAATAATAGGGGGGGAAAAGAACTGCTCGTAATACGGACAATAAAGACTGTGGTGAGTAGTATGTCCGGCCCCCCGCAAGTGCCTTGCTGAGTGGCTAGCAATGTCAGTTGTTGCTCTTGCTTTCCGTTGTCTTATCTCTGCACTGTGTGGTGATGGAGTGGTCAGGGGGGTGAGTAAAGTTGTTGAATATTTCCTGTCTGAGGAGGTGCAGTGGTCCGAAATAAGCCCCTATTTCCAGTTACCTTGGCTGTATCTGCTTTCACTTCATGGAATGAGGAGAAATATTCCTTTATGAAATCTTGTTCACCAAACAAACAAAAAACGGTTCAAGACAAGGATGTTATAAGAACATGATCAAATATAGCCCATGTATGTATACCTTGTAGCATTAGCGTCCTCTCTCTCCTCTTCTTGTTCCTACTTCGTTGTTTTTTGGTCAGTGCCGAGTTGCCATGGAGTTCCTGCTGGGTGACACCCTCTGAATGGCTTTGGGCCTTCTGGCTGCAGAAGACTTTGGAATGGCCTTCCCCTTGCTTGTGCAAATAACTGTTCCTGGGTATTTTGATAAAAACATTATAAACAGCTTGAGCCCATCATGACAAAGAAATAGCTCCATCTCCTCTTTGCCCTTCTGATAGTAAAAGGGGCTATGAAGAAAATAAAAAGGCGGGGGTGGAGGTCAGGGAGCACCCTTTTGAAGCTTTTATATGGCATTTAAAAAAATGTGTACAGATATTTTAAATTACATTTTTGTTGTTTCCTTTTAGCAAGACGGCTTTGCTATCTACTCAGAATACTGCAACAATCATCCCGGTGCCTGCATTGAGCTATCCAATCTGATGAAACAGAGCAAATACCGCCACTTCTTTGAAGCTTGCCGCCTGCTTCAGCAAATGATTGATATTGCTATTGATGGTTTTCTTCTCACACCTGTGCAGAAAATCTGTAAATACCCATTACAGCTTGCAGAATTACTGAAATACACCACACAGGAGCACAGGTAGGACTAGCAAGATACCTCTCTCTTTTCCCCCCCACAGTCATGGGTTTGTTGATAAGCTCACAACAGTGCACTGTGGGTAATTAATCCAGAATTACTTCCACCCATTTGTTCTGTCCCAACAAGCACTAGTACATACATAAACTGGCAATGAGATCGGAACGAAGGCCAGTGTGGTTGTCATCTGGGCCATAGTCAACGATGGCTTTTGACTTCGAGTGTCTCCATCCTTGTCCATTGTTGTTGTGTAACAGATTGAAACCAGAAGGGTACATAGCTGAAGGCCCCTTCTGGGACGTTCTGATCCCATATGGGTACTGTTTGTTCAAAAAAAATTCCCAGGTCAAAATCTTGCTACAAGAGAAAAATCTAATATGTCAAAAAGACATATTTAGTCTTTCCAAACAATGCTTTCTGAGTTAATAAAGTCCAGTGAGAGAAATGTTAACACCTTGGTTTCTTTCTATGATTTGCTTCAGACCAGTGCTGACTGTATAGTAAGTAACCAGCTGGTACAGGCGAGTGGATTCCTAAATATTCTAAAGACAGCTCGAGGAATTGTTGTCTACTTTGATCAGGAGAGAAAACAGTGTCCTAGAGTGATGAGCGCCCAACCTTTAAATTGTGGTTAACGAGCAACCAACTCAGGATGTTATACTGCTGATGCTGTACACTTCTTTTCAGATTATTAAATGCTCTTCAGAAGGTTCCCCCCACCCCCAGCACTGCTTATAGTTCAGATGACTTGGGGGAAGGGGCTGCTTTGTTGCCTGCTTTTTCCCCCCCTCTCCAGCTTTCTTCTTAATTCATTGCTGTCTCAGAGGCAACCATGAAAAGAGCTGTCTTGGGTCTGTGCTGAAAAGCGGCCAGGGATTTCCCTTTATCTGAGCTGTTCAGTTGTACTCTCTGTAGACAAAAGGACTGCTGTTGGGGCAGTTGTCTTGGCTCAATATGAAGATCCCAGATTAGCAGCTGCAGAAAAAGACTCCTGTCTCACCCTTTCCCTCTCCCCGTGCCTTTTAATTTTTTTTTAATAAAACCATGATGAGTAGGTGTTTTGTGTGTCTTGTGATGGCTCATTAAATTTCTCCAATGTATAAAAAACAAGCATAGGTGGAACAGGATGTGATTGCCTCCAGAACAGCTTTTAAAACCCAACAGTGTAATGTTTTTTATTAGTGCCATTCAAAATGTCTTCGAATGTAATGCTGTATGTTTACTCAGAAGTAAACCCCAATAAGATCGATAGTGCTTAGTAGTGTATTTAGGATTGCAAACACAGATTAGTGAGCAGGTCTTCAGATTCCACGGAACTCTTCTTCAGACAGAATATTAAGCTGGATGGAAAGGATCTTGGGTTGAATCTTAAAGTTGACTAGATTTTGGCCACCCCATCCCCCCCGGCACCCAAAGGTCTGCTTGGGATATGGTGGTCGGGGTCCCCCACCGTTCTTTTTTGGAGCTGGCTACAGTCTTCAGATGTAAGAAATCTTATGAAGACTTCATCAAGTTAAGCCATTTCAGATATAAAACAGGCCAAAGGTTGCCCTAAAGGCTGCTGGGACAAAGAATTGATGATTGCTGTCCCCTTGGAAATGTAAAAGCCAGGCATAGTTCAGATCCCTCTTGGGTGCTACTCAGAACTCACTGGTTCCTGGTAAAGTCTTCGATTTGCAAAGCTGTAGGTTAAACTTTAGATGACACATGAGGTGTAGAGTTAAAGTTAAGACAATAATGGTAGGAAAAGCTGAAGGCAGCAAGAAAAGAGGAAGACCCGAACATGAGATGGACGGACTCAGTCAAGGAAAGCCACGAGGGCCCTCAGTTTGCGAGACCTGAGCAAGGCTGTTAGTACGTTTTGGAGGCCATTCATTCATAGGGTCGCCATAAGTTAGAAGCAACTTGACAGCACTTAACGCACACAGGATTAAAGGCACAGCTGGAAAGTGTTGAACCCAGTGGTGGCTGAAGGGCTTGCAAGTCCCACTGTTGGATGGTTATCGGACAACTTTGTTTTGGTTTAAGCATTATCAGATACTGGATATAATGCAAGTGTGATGGGTTCCCTCCGAATTCATTCAGACCTGTGGGAAGTAGATTGCTTTTTCAGGAAAACCAGTTTTGAACTACTATTACTTAGTGCCTAGTATCAGTGTTAATGATTATTATTACCAGTTGGGTACTCATGAGGACTAAGGGGCAGAGGAAATCTCAGGGCCCCTTTTATTTTCAGGAGGAAGTGTGTAGTGTCAATATTTTAAACAAAATAATAATAATAATAATAATAACAAGTGAGGGACCCGCGATACTCGTTGGAGAGGGGTAGCTCCACACCTATGAGGAAGAGGAGGAAGCAT